TCCAGTCAGAAATTAGGTGCCACAGTTTCTGTATTAAACATATGACTTCTTGTCATTCAAGCATAACTATGTGGTAACCTTTGGCTTTTAGTACAAAGTGGATGAAATGACAAACAATTACCTCCAGGTTTTAGTCTGTAGGTAAACCAAGGACTACTAGACGTTTACCATTTGGACAAAACTGAGCGTTAAATCAGAAATATTACTCCAGGCAAACATCTAAAGTGGTTTTAAAATGTGTAAACATTAAGCTTGAGGAGGTAACTTTCCCTATCTAAATGCTGAGAAACTGGGCTTTACGTTAGTTCCATCAATTCAGCCTAGAAAATGTCTGAAATATGCAGCAGCCAAAATTATGCCAGAAGCTTAATAACTACAAAAACTGTGATCAAACTGTAATGCTACAAGACGTATTTAACGAATTATCAGTGCAGGTTGTGCTCCAAGATGTTTTCTAAAACATGGAAAATAAGCAGCTCAAACAGATAATTAAAAAACTTACATTAATTCTGTTTATACCCATGATGAAAGCCTGCATTCTTGCGACAGGAAACATGGTTAAGTATTGGCAAAGAATCCACTTTGTCCATGCAGGATATTTCTGAATAATTGAACCACTGACTTAAATTTGAAAAAGGAGTAAGGCTATGTTTATCCAGGATCTCTCTACTCTAGTATGAATAGAGCTCTGCAGCCCTGTACAGGTAACGTGGGAATTATAACTTTTCTGGAAGAACAACAAAAAGGAAAACGGGGCCTGTGGGTTACGCAGCATCAAAGTCAGGAAAAATAACATCAAGAAGCAAGAAGACTTCCTCCTTTGCGACAAAACTACAAACAAAAACAAGCTTCACGCCTAAATAAGGACACATAGACAGAAACAGCTGCACTTCTGTTGCCAGTTGCAGAAAATAACAGAGAAAAGCAGAGCGAACTAATTGTGGCCCAGTTTCCAGGCAGCAGCAAGAGTTAGTCAGAACAACAGATCAGAATTTAACCACTAGATACCTGGACACCGAACAGAGACCACAGGTAACCACTTGCAGCCAAATGAAAAACAGTGTAAGGCTAGAAGCTGTCATGTGTTTGGCAATGATTACAGACACAAGTATCGGCTAATATTAGAGACACAGTGGCTGATAAAGTCATCAGTGTCTGAAGAGAAGAGCAAATAGATTTAAATTGATCTGATGGAGAGATAGACTGCACTCATAACGCTCAAGTGATGAAAATAAACATTTAGAGAAGCAGGGATTTTAGATCACTGGCATATTTCTGAACGCTGTGGCTTTTTTTCCGTTGCTGTGCTTTGATGCTCATTCTTTCTGATGTCAAGATGTACAGATGAAATGTAGAATTTTTTATTTTTAAAATCTGAAATGCCAGGGGTCATGCCAGATGGCAAAAAAAAAAAAAAAAAAACCCTCACAGTCCAGGTTTTTTTTCTCCAATGTGCAGTTGTGCTATTTGTACTTCAGCACATTCAGATATCTTGTGTATATGTGTGTGTGATGATCTGGGGATCGTGCCTCTTTGTGCTCGCCTGTGTCTGTGCTGTGAGAAGCAGGCGTGCTGATGTCTGATCCAATCACACTCAGCTCTGGTGGGCTGAAGGCCTGAATTGTGCACGGGAAACCATGTGAAACAGAAAATGAAGGAACGTGTGCGGGCTGCGCAGCTGTGATGATGGGCTTGGTTGAGGTCATTTTACATGACAATGTGCAGGACCAGTGCAATTAACAATGAGATCTGTTGCAGATAAATGGCTACATGATTAAAATTGTTCCAGTGGAATTCCTGATTAGACCAGCTAAATCACACGGGCTGCAGGTTTTTTTTCTTTTGGTGTAATCCAACTGTGTTGCAGATAATTTTAGGCAAAAGATGTAATCAAGTATCTTTGACCTTTTTATCCAGCTTGCATTAATCCAACAGAGATGAACACTGAAGATTTATGGAGTTAGCACAAAATGTTAATTTGTTTTCAGGACAAAAATGACAAAGTACAAACCCTGTCAATCTGTTATTGTACATCAAAACAAATATTTCTCTCTAAAAAATGTATCCATGATCTAATAGGCTGCATCACTGAACAGGTGTAAAGTAATTGCATTCAGTAATACTTAGAATCATAGCGAATTAATTTTATGTTTTTAGGGAACCAACAGTGAAAAACTAATTGAAAATCACTCGCTTGTTATTATAGGTGGCTTAACTTATTTATTTTTGTGATATTTATTTTCTGCAAATAAATAAAAAAATTTTGCTTGGAATTTCAGAGATGCTGTCAGTAGTTCATAGAATAAAAGAACAATGTTTATTTACTCAAACACATGCCTATAAAAAGTAAAATCAGAGAAGCGTGTCATTTTAAGTGGTCTCTTTCTTAAATTTTTCCAGAGCTGTCGATGCACCAATCAAAAATATTGTGGCCAATTTCAGAGATTAGGATGCAAAATGCTTTTTTTAAACCTTCCTACCATGAGCAGCTATCAGTTTGTCCATTGTACGAAATGTCTGAGAGAGCAGCCACAGTAACACAAAATATAATTTTAAGACAAAATTATTAGAAGTGACATTTAGAAGTGGGTTTCTCATGATAATTCAGCAAAAAGCCCTCTCACCATCACCAAAACAGCAGTCTCTTTGTGTAGCGACTGTGGATCCTGACTTTAACTTGAGGATTTCTAAAAGGCTTTAAATGTTTCTATATCTAGCATATGCTGTGAGAAATGGAGTGAAAAATCAAAAGGATAAAACATAACTCCTGTTGTCTGTGGAGGCTTTCTGATATCTCGTCTTTAATGGACAGGCCGCGGGAGGAATGGAGAAAATACAGTTTCCTTTTTAAACAGCTTCCTACATTTAAGTGTATCATCTGATTTGTACTTTTTAACACCTCACTGAACTGAAAGCAGCCAACAGTGAATCTTTTTCTGCAAGTCGTCTCTGCTTCACAGTGCTGTAGGCTCTACCTGGTCGCTCCTTGAGTTGTGTGTTTGTTTTTTGGAAAGAGACTTTGAGTCAACGGACAGGCCTGATTAAGCTGAAAAACGGCCAATTCCAGTTGAAAGCCATTTTCTCGGTGCATAATCCTTAATTCTTTCTCTTCAAATATTATTTTAAAGCTGTGCAACTTGATACCACGTTATGTTTCCCCACATTTTCTTCTTTTTGAATTGTATTTTGGTTTCAGTGAGGACCTGAAACAACAGCTCAGGGTTTTAAATAAATCATATTAAAGCTAATCCTGGTTCTGTAGGTTTAAATACATCAGTTTGTTTTGCATTCGGCTGCATGGTAACTATGGTGATCATAATGTTGGTCCATAATGTTGACTACTACATTCTGTGTCTCTAAGCTATCCTGTGATGGTATAGCATTAAATTAAAATCCATTTTTTAATGAGGCTGTGAGATTCTGTCTTGTGAGTCTTCATGTCGGTGAACCTTGAACTCAAGTGAAATTAAAACGTACCTAAATACCAGTTAGAGGGACTGTGTTTGGGCCAGTGTCAAACTCAAGGCCCTGGGGCCAATCCGGCCCGCCACAGCTTTTTATGTGGCCCTCTAAAAGGACACATAATTGGAGCTGTCAAGATGACAGTGACTTAAATATTATGTTACCAATCAATTCAACAGTTTTTAATTGGCTACTGCCAAATTGCATCAATTATTTTCTCCAGTTTATTGTGGAAATTCACTCAAAATCAACAAATCCCTGCACGTTTTCTCAATAATGCATAATTGTGAGTTTATTGCAGATTTTTCACAAAAATTGTGAAAAACGTTGGATCTGAGTGGCGGTTTACTCCCACCTGCAGGTGGCAGCATTTATCACTTCTACTGAATAGATGAAGTTATAATCTCCAACATACGTAAACTCAAATATTTCTAAATTAGTAACAAACACTTTTTTATTGCAAAAAAAATCACAAAAACAATTGTGAAATCCTGGAGTGACTGAAAAGATTTTAAATATTATTTAATTTTAAGAATTTATTCATATTTTAAGCAGTTTAACTGGTTTCATTAATACATTCTGGCACAACTGGCTCTTTAAGAAGATTCTTGACAAGATTCATGATCTTGATTTGGCCCAAAGGGAAAATGAGTTTGACACCGTGCCTTAGGGGAAAGTTTGTGCTTCTCTACTTGGGCTGCTGCCCCCCCGCCCCCCCCGATCCGATCCGACCCTGGATGAGCGAAAAATAGATGCAACAATGTTTTCTACCTGCCTGAAAAAAGCCCAACGTACATAAGGATTTTATTTTACGGGGGACAGCCCAAGTCTGTTTTCCAGTGAGAACAGAGTTCTGAAACTGCTCTACATGAGAAACTGAAAAGTATTCTTGCAGTTATGAATGTCTCTGATCATATAAGTGGTTCTGTCATGTTTTCCACTGTATTTTTCTGGTGGATGTTGAAGTAAGGATGTATGTCTGTTGGCTTCAAGAGGTCCAATTATTCTCATGTCCTGCTGCTACAGAACCCATCCACATGTTATACTCTGGTGAAAGTTTGCAGCTGCAAGATAGTGTGAAGAAAAATTATTTTTGTTGTAGCATTTACCCTGACAGCAGACATAAGTGACGACCAGGATCCATAAGTAAATCTGGGCTGGTCTTTTTCTTTTTTTCCAATGGTCCATTATAAATGTGGGTTAGGGTGATATAGAATCCGTTTTTGGTCATTTTCTACTTTCAAACTTTTATCTTTTTTTGGATGAAACCAATAGCAAAAGTGTGTGAACAGCCAATAAAGCCTGATATTTTAATCAGCTGTGAGTTTCCCCCACATCCCAGAAAACTTAGATTTAGACACAGTTTAACATTTTAAAAGTATTTAAATCATGGGGTGATTTCTGCATGACTTCAGCTAGTATATTTTGCTTAAAAGGTAAAATCAGTATTTTCTCAAAAAGTGGTGTTTTTTTTCATCCGTTTCTCCATTTCTGTTCCTGATTTTCTCATGTCACATATTTGATTTAATAATTTTTGACAGGGTTACTTTGTAAGGACATCCATGTAAAAGAAATTAATCAACTTAAGGAATTTCTTTCCTGGAAAGATGAAGGTAAACAAACTGTAACTTTGCAGTAATGTAAATCAACATGCTAATGGTGTGAATGTTTCCTCGGTAAAAAACAAGAACAAAATGCTTTCTTCTTTTCTTAAATTCTGAACTTTGAAAAACTTAGCCCAACACAACCTGTTAGACTTTGTTTCATATTTTACTTGAGTTGTTTTCTGCTTGCTAAAATTATACCTTCTTGGATTGGTGAGTCTCATATCAAACATTATCTACAATCATTGAGCTACAACCCAATTTTCAATTAAATGTGCAGTTTTGGGGGTTGGACATTGGTTGCTCTGTGCAGCCTGCTGTAAGATACATTCTTAAGGACTGTGTATAAAGTGCAGCACTGAAAACTGCTTTGTTTTGCATTTTTTATCTTAAAGTAAGGTACACTCTATTTTATTTTTAGCTGGATTGAAGTCGCACAAGAACAGTTCTGCCCAGTTTAGCAGTGAATAAACAATTAGATACTTGACCTGGTACTTAGAAAACACGGTTTGTTTCTACTGCAGGAAATTTGCTGCCTCATCTCTAAATCTAAAAATAAGACTTGAATGGATCAAACTTTCTTTCAGTTCCCTTTATTCTGAAGGTCCTAGGTGTTATCATTACCTCTGTAACCAGGCTGATTGAAGCCAATGGTAAATTTAGAAGTGCAAAACACAAAAATCATCCCGGTTTGTTTGTAAAAGTGGCGATGTTAGAAGCCATAATGGGAGGTTTCTGTTTCCAGCCTTCAGCGTCTCCTTGGGTCACACACAGAAACCCGAACTGCTCCCAGTAACAAGTGCCTTACATGCGGCTTCGTTTCTGCCGGCTTGTCAAATGCATTTTAAAGTGCTTTTCTGTGCAAGGTTAAAGTTCTCATCTCAGCTTTCAAGAGGCAACTGCAGACTTTTTTAAATTGATTCCCTGAAAACTAAAAAAAAAAAGGGAAAAATTATCGCCTTTTGAAACACCTTGAAAATCAGAACTAAGAAACTTTTTTACTTTTCCATAGATAAAAAATTCAAAGCTCCTCAAGTTGTTTACAAGCTGTTGAGGTCATACTATGTTTTATTAAATGATACCAATTAGTAAGTGTTAAAACTACTAATTGCCAATTAATTTTTTTGCTCTCATCTGCAGATGTAAACATAGGAGGGCATCTGCTCTTCAGTAATATTAATGGTGTTATTGCATTAATAGTGGATATTTTACATGTCCTTTTTTTAAAGTTTTGTTTTTGATGCTCATTGAGCACTAATTCAATCTAATGTAAGATTTTATCAACTTTTAAATTGTTTAATGCAAAGGAATGCCTTATTTTGTTTCTTTGGGTCAGTTTTCACTGTCTTAAGATCATATATTTATATTTTTGATGGAGCTCTGCTGCATAATGCTTAGCTGTATAGTTAAGATGTCAGCAATAAAACACTTTTAGATTTGTCTTAATTATGTACCTGTAGACATGCTGAGAAAGAACAAGGAGGTTCAATCTAGGCCTAGCAGGTTGAACCTACTAAACATCTCCAGTCTGTTATGCCATTTTCTGTCTTTTGTGTCTAAATCTGATATAGATTTAGAGCCTAAGATTTTCCAGGTCCAGGAGAAAAGTGGAAACTTTGTGTTTTTATGTGAAAGATGTGTAGACCAGCTTATCCCGACTTTTTCTTTTCCATAATCACAAAGCGTTGCAGTTCTGTAGCAGTTTAGATAAAACAGATGCCTTTTGTGCAGATACACACAGACCCTCTTTTGACCTGGACTTTGAAAAGGCCTTCAACGTCAGATTGTATTAATCTCAAAGGATCTTTTACTTGTTAAATAAGTTTTCATGACTACAAAGCTGTTATAATAAGACATTCTTAGATTCTTGTCTGCATGTATTAAATACCTTGCTTTAAAGTTGATATTTTTCTGAAAGTTGCATATATATTTTTAAATGTTAGCCTTGTTTTGCACATTATTATGCACACAACCTTCCACCAGGGTTATCTAGAGCTATAAAAGCCACACTTGTTTTAAAGTGTATTTTCTTTAATTTGCAGTCACTCTGCTTCTTTTTGATTTTGTCTTAATGCAGGTTCCTTAGAGACGAGAATCTAACTTTTCCCAGCCGGGTTATATTTGCAGAGCCACATTTCAGCTCTGAATCCAAAGTGAGGCACCTCTAAACATTTAATGGGCTCAGATTTTAGAAATGACAGCTGTGAAACCAAAGGTGACAATTCCTGCAGCTGAGAGATGCGGAAGAACATGTTGGGTCAGAGAAGGTGAACAACTGCATCTCTCAGCTCTTGTCCTGCTGCATCTGGGGCTGTTTTCCTCTGTCAGAACATGTTGAACTTTAAAAACCTTCTTAGATTTAATGCAGACGTTTAATACCATAAAATATGGAGAAAAAAAACCTTGAGTTAACCTTTTAGAAAGACAGATTTTATAAATTCATTCAATAAGTTACATTCATTCTCACCTGTTTTCATTAGTCAGATTACATTTCTGTTTAATTTCATTATTGAAACAAGGAAATTAGATTGTAAATATCTCAGTTTAACTAAACTTAACTTTAAACTTTCACTGAAATGTAATCTCCAGTGAAATTTTTTAAAATCGTTTTTTAAAAGTATGCCAATCGGAATCAAGTATTAAGTAAATTAAATTTACCTTTGTAATATATTTTATTTAATGTATATTTTCTGTCTACTCTGCACTTTTAGTGGCTTTTATAGCACCTAATATCACATTAAAGAATACTTGTTCCTACATCCCATTTTATTTATTTCATTTAATTTTGGTACATCAGGTGTAAATGTATGGATTTTTAAAACGCTGGAGTAATTTTTATACCTTTGTCTCAATTATCTTTACATTTTTATAAAAGACTGGATCTAATAGGGTTTAATGTCTCATTTAAATAAACTTCTCTTTGCAATAATAGTTTGTAGTGTTAAAGTGTGCAGAAAGCTATGAAGATAAATTCTCTGTAATGTAAATTTTTGTTGATTAGAGATTCCTTATACCAGTGATTATTATTATTTATTTTTATTATATGGAAGAATGCTGAAACCTGAGCGCTTTCTCTTCATCCGCCATGCTCTCAGTTGAGGAAGTTGGTCTTAAAATCAGGTTATGAGCCATAACTGCAGCATCTGAATGACTAACGCAGCCAAAGCAGAGTGAGAGCAGACGCGAGGCCTTGACAGATGACACAACGTATTGATGGAGAGCAGGATGTAGAGGCTGGCAGGATGGCTTCCCCATCTCGGCCTCATCTTTGCTTCTCTCCAGGAATCGATCCAAGCCTGCAGGCTGACTGCAGAGGGAGCGAGGCACACTTAAGTGCAGGTCCTGGGTAATCCCCTGTCAACTTCTGATGCGATTCTCATCCATTCACCTGACCTTCATTTTAACCATTCGGTTTGGTTGGCTAGCAGGGTTTTTTTTTAATTTCTTTTTAATCTTCTTACTTTTCTTTAGAAAAGACAGTTTGTTGGCATGACATTTAATTTGTAGTAGAGTCAAAATTTCATTCTGTCAATGTTGCCTTAAAAATGAAACTTGTCTTTGTTTCTTAATAAGGGTGAAAGATGCGAGCTGAGAATTTTATCGCAACATTTTATGGTGCTATTGTGAAAATGGTAAAATTATCTTAAAAAAACATTTATTACTGCATGGAGAAGCATTCATAGCACAACAAATGAGTGCTGCTCTAGAAAAAACATTTCCATTTCAAATATGCTTCTTCTTAAAATGTGATTTATACAACTGCATTTATCATATTTTGAAATTGATATTTATCGATGCTGTTGTGGAATAAATAGTGGAGAAAATAGCATTTCTGGTAATACTGTCAGTTTTGCTTTGCTTTTGCTGTCGAGACCATAAATCAACATTTTTCACGGTAAATCCCCCCCTGTATTTTAACACATTTTTTAACCATTGAGTTTAGTCTTGCTAACTAACTTATCTAACAACAACATTATAAAAATAAGGATGTTTTCTTTTAGCCACCTGCAGCATAATTTATTGCTTAGTCATTTGTAAAAGTACTTCTGGGATTTGGGTAATTACTGAGAGGTGAAAAAGATCTGTTTACTTTGTCAAAAGAAAATCTTCCACGGCTCTCTATCCCAGTGAGAAATGGTTCAACTTTATGAAGTCTGACCTAGCATTGAGGGTCTTTTCTAATAACTCGTTCTTCTGTTGTTTTTTTTTTTTTTTTTTAAGATTTCCCTCATGAGGTCACTGAATAAACATGCATGGGACGAGATGCTTTTATGTTCGGGTTTTTGGAATAAGAGTAAGAGGATTAAAAGGAAGAAAATAAAAGAATCTCCCAAATGAGATGTGCTTCTTATTCGGCTCGTTTTCATTGATCCAACCACCTTTTCATTTTTCTTTTTCTATTTGACACATTTACTGTGCGTGTGTGTGTCTGACTCAAACTACATCTATAATTCACAAACACTGAGCATCCTCAAGTTCCCTCCCTGAGGCTCTGTGTTAACACACAGCTAGAATATGGATTCAGGTTCTGCTGCTAATAAGTTACGGAGTCAGAAAAAAGGCCCAAATGACCAGATTCATATACTTTATTTATATTGTTTTGACAGAAGATCAGTTTCGCTGCTATTTAGTTGTTTTTCACCGAAGCGTACCTCCTCACTGTCTGCATTTAAAATATATTGGGATCTAATCCTGCCTAATATATCTGCTGATCTCCTTCCTATATTGCTTGGAAAGGCAGCAAAGGATGCAAATCATGTCTTGTTTTGCTTTTTATTTAATGCTGTTTTTAAAAGACCTTGGGTCAGTCTTCTGAGTCCATTCACTTATTAGAATCAGCATAAGAGCCGCATTATGATTCTGCTGCTTACGTCGTCTTCCTGATTTCTCTGTTTTCTAAGAATAACTTTAGGAGCAATCTCCTAAAAAACAATAAAACGCTTGGCTAAAGCTTTCAGTGAAGGAAAAACAAAGATTCTGGTATTCATGACTTGTTTCAGAAGAAAATGAGCAAATACGACATGCTTTTTAAAATGGTTTTAGATTAATTAAAACATATCTACCCAAATTTATTCATGGGCTTGTTAAATCATGAATGAACTGATAAAAATACAAGCATATTTTCTGGTATAATTTAACTTTTCACATCTTGCTGATGCATCCTGAGGGGCCACATCGGGTTAACGTCGTCTGTTGGGTAATTTGTTGCAATTTTGATTATTTTATGACCGTTTAATGGATGGTGAGCAGAGAAATTCACTTCCTCTTTTGGCCGATGCTTCAGGGCTTTTAACTTTGATTTGCATTTACTGACACAAGCTAATGCAAAGTAAATGCAAGCAGAAGTACATGTAGTGTCCTTTAGTGGTGGCATCTGCACGGTGTTCCTAACTCTGCCCTTTATCTAACATTATTGGGGTGAAGATGATTGTCATTATTTGTTTATTAGCTCAATAACGAGACTGAATGAAGTGACCTTAAGCAGTCTGGAGTGTTTCTCAGCGAGGGCGGTTGGAGGATGACGGAGAGCTGGCAGTAATATTTACAAAACGGAGATGCTGTGATTCTTTTGCTTGAAGGTAAATTTTACACCCAAGATACTTTACTACTTGTAAAAATCTGTAGTCTGCAGCATTAAAACATGCATGGAATCACAGCTCTGTTTCTCTTAAAAATGTTTCTTCTGCTGCCTTCAGGAGAATAGGACATCAGAGTATCATCTGTAAAAATTTCACCCACTGTGTAAACTCTAGAAAATGAACTCTGTCTGAAAGCGTCCAGTATCCAGACGCACATTAAAACACTTTAAATACAACTTCCTTTGTCAGCATGGTAGAAATACAGCCTTACCAAACAATATGGACACAAACCTGCAATAAATATTCTGAACCCACTGGGTTTTGTGTGGCATCTTGGCTCGACCGAGTTGATGTTTAGTCTGGTAATTTCAGTTTCTGGCCCGTCTTGCTGCAGAATGATTCTTTAGATGTGCACCAAAGGACGACGTTCTGGTTTTGACCATTTTTCTTTTTTAAATGAGACTGAGATGACACTAACAAGGGTTCAGCGACAGACACCGAGGTGTTTGAAGAATCTAAAGACATGTTTGAGTTTAATTTAAAGCCTTTAAGAATCTTTTTTAAATTAGAATGATTTTACTCTGAGTCCTGCAGTTGCATAAATGCAGTTTTTTCCCCCAGCATCTTTGAGCTTAGTGTCGCCAAAACCAAGCAGTAAAACTGACGATTAACGTAGAAGGAGAGCATCTGGTTTTAA